TACGAATTGTGCATTACACGTGAAAGGCAAACCCCCGAGAAACAGCCTGGGTTTCGCACTGGTCATGGGTGCTTAAACGATCCTATATTGATCCTCTAGTGCCTTTCCGCTTTCCATAGATCAACAACAATTTTGTTCTTAGACCTAGGCAGTCTTTTATTTCATCCATAGGGCTGCATTCTTAGAAATAGAGGGCATGGATTGATCATCTAAGAGTTGTGTCCGCATACCTCAGGTCGGGCCTACGACCAACTTTCGCCANCACTCTTTGCCGTTTCCACTGGAGTGTAACAAGTCTACACTTTATATCTGGCCCTTGTTAACTTTGACATCGAGATTTTCTAAAACAAATGCTTCGTTCGCCCTAGAAAATGGAATTTAAGTTGCCTCGTGGAACAGAGCTCTTGACTTAGAATGAACGGAGAGCATCGCTTTTCTGGATGTCCATACATAGCCAGCCCAAAAGGTTTGAAACCGCTTGGCGGCTGAGGTATCCAGAGATGGTTAAGGCCTTACATCATTCAAATGCAAAAAGCATGTACAGGACTGAAAAGAGTTAGTGCTTGCATTCACCCTCCCTTGAGATCAGCAGGAATTTTTTTAGTACATATCTTTGTGATGAATAGCAGACGTAGAGAACCCCATGGTCGCAAATACCTGCTGTTTCGTGACGGCAACGGGAAAATTAGCCCCGAGACTTGAAGTGGTAAACCACATAGAACCCCGCTAGGTTAGACGTCATGATCATCGTTATCCTACGGTGAACTTCAATGATCCCTTCCAAACTCGCAAGGTTAGTGGTAACATGCAAAATGAACAGGGATTGGATCTAATTTGGGGGAGCGAGAAGGTCAACACAGAGCACACAACCTAACTGTGCATGCACACCGTTTCAAGCATTCTGTCTTGATAAGACATAACCACTGCTGTCGATCCGCGGCCATATCCTTCAGTGTCCCCAATGAACCACTTGCAGTCTTTCGGATCTTAACCTAGAAGGCGCGGGATACCTACCCTACCTGATATCTTTGTGCATTTCTGAATGCCTTGTCTCCACATCATCTGTTGACCTCCATGTGGTATTGAACCGGACGATGGCGAAGCTGCCTATCACCAAAAGTAAACGACAGCTTAAAGTACTGGAGCCTGTTCACAGTTGGCGGTATTGGAGAAAAGGTTTTATCACGAACAGTGATGGCTAAACTAGGTTGTCAACCCGCAGCACCTATGGTACCACTTTGACATCCGAATTCCCCGTAGTTCGTAGTGTTTTGGTTTACCGTTGCGAGACCTGACTTGTCCGCGTCGAGGACGCTAATCGACTTTCTGTATTTCACCACCGATACCTTAAAGGATTGTTCGTGTCTGGGGACGGGACATCCAGCACGCAGTGACGAGACTCGTCATCGTGCGCTGGATGTTGAGAAGAGAAAACTGCTCCACCTCTAATCCGGTAACTTGCTTTGCATACACCTGAACATCGTCTAATTACCCTGCACTTGCTGGCTGAAAGAATTGACGCGATGTCAGACGACGTCCTGGTGTGGAAGTATGATACTGGTTCCAGAATTGGCTTCTGCTGGTGCATCCCGTCTTCCATGTCGCGGTTCAGTGAATGAAATGCTATATCCCATTACAGTCAAACAGACACAAAGATACAAAAGTATCAAAAGATGTAGAATGACATAAAAAAGACATTACTGTTCTCTGCTGCTCTCCATATTTGCCTCAGCTGTACCCAAATCACCCGTTTTCTATCTTCATTGTTATCTCTGACAGTATACTTGTTCTCAAGTCATTCATTTTAGTACTTTTAAGTTCTCAATAATTTAACTGTTTCTGATGGCTTCGAAACTTCATGTGATACTTGTAAATTTCAGCGAAGAAGAAAATTAACAGAATAAACAACGTCGCTTTTATTTTTGCAAATTTGTTTCCTTGATCAGTGTAGTTTGGTCTTGAAAACCCTTCGTCTTTGTGACAGCATGTACAGGTACAGTCTAGGTGCAGCTGAAAACCGAGATTTCAGGAAGTTACTCCTCTTACCTGGAACGTAAGAAGCCATTATCATGAGAATAGTGAACTGATAGTCAAAGCTACAGTTCAGCTTGTTTGGCAACGCAAAAGAGTAGCGATCGGTTTCCTTTAGAGACTGTACAGCACGGTACATCAAAACCAATTCACCCTGAACAGAAAAGATGGCGTATTAGAAGAAACACACTTACCGTAATGCCGGTTGGATAAAGAAACATGAAAGCCGAATATCTGATAAAACGGTATTAATTGTGCTAAAATTATTACCTCAACCACGTGATAAGGGAGGAAGAAATATTACAAATATTCAGCATGTAAAACACATAACGGATAATTTCAGCAAAGGACCAAGAGATTAATATCAATGGAACTCCGATGGATTGTTCCTTGATCTAGAAGGAATCATGAAATACCTTCCTGAAACTTACTTCCGGTAATAAAAAAAGAATACCCCAAACCACAAACACCCGAGAGCTTATTTGTACTGCCGTTGTAAAAGGAGATGATCGAACAAGTCCCAGCGCAGCGTGCAACACCTGTTACAAAATGGGCCAAATGATTGTGTACACGTTCACTCACTTCGATCAGTGCTAATGTCTGAAAAATCCGCAAAAGGAATTCCACGTGAGATCCTAATCCGAACCAGTTTCCGGATAATAATGCCTCCGATACATACATGTATAGCAAATAAGACCAACTTCCACAGCCAGTAGGCCAGCATTTATTGACGCACTTACCCTAGCAGTTGCAGACTGTTGTAACCAAGAAGGTAACTTTTCGAAGATTTCGTGGTTGCCATTTTTTATAGGTTGAATTCTGAAGGTAAAACATAAGCATGGAGAAAGTCTTGGATATGTCAGAATAGAGCTTAACTAGTAAAGGCACCTAAGTGGAATTCGATTTCAAGTTAAAAAGCTACCAGTCTTTTCATATGATCAAAACGACAGTAAATTAACTGGCTAAAAACCTGTTTGAAATTTGCAGTTATGACTCTATGATACATTGGGTCACCTGTGGTCTACTTTGCTACTCAAAGGAATACAAGAAAGTTTAAAGAGCTAGATGAAAAACGGTCACCGGCTTGAGTGAATGATGGAATGTCTTACGCAATCTGGATGTGGAAGCCCCAATCGAAGGACGTATGATCTGACGGACTGTGCGACTATGGATTCCGGACTCTAAGCATCACCCTATTGTCTGACTAATTCATCGAAGGCTCGGGGTGAGATCCCTCAACCTATTGAAGCCTTTACGGTTTACCATTTCAAGTCTCAGGGTTGAGTTGCCTGTCTTTCCTGACACCTCAAATGAACAATACAGCTCACATGAATCAGAGAATGCGCACATTACCTATAAACTTACACTACTGCCCTTACTAACATTCGTAGGTTAAATCGAAATGTTAATTCTGTACACCACTTTCTCTAATCCTCTTACCCTTTGTTTTTATTTTAGACCGAAACAAACCTCTTCCTTGTCTTATACTACACATCTTTAATCTCCTAATTGCTTCCTCCATTCTTCTTTTCTTCAAGCTGGTGTCTGCGCCCATATACATCATTTCATCGCTTCATCTCGACTTTTGCACCTAAATTTTTAGAAAACGTGAATTGCAGCTTATGTGGCTGAAACTTTGGTTTCCTTCATTCGACCACCTTTTTTGTACCGCTCCCCGAGCTGCATTGACCCTTCTACTTTTGATATCCTATCTTCCAACATTGAGACACTGACGGCCACAGATCACAACAAACAAACTACCATTGTCGGAGATTTTATGTACGCAAGGAGTGCCTGATGCACTTTTCAGACACTTCGTTCATGGGAAGCCAAGCTAAGACTTTTGATGTGGTCAACAACCTGAGTCAATTAGTCAACCTCCCCGCGCACATCCCTGATCGTATTGGTGACCGCATCCGCACTCAACCTCAATCTCACATCAAATCTCTCTTCTTTCTCCAACATCACTTCCCTTTTCCCATTAGGGTCGTCGGGCCATCGTCCCATTTCTCACTTGAATGTTCCCGTATAAACATTCCCCATTACGATATGCCATTGGTTATGGGGTGAATCCCTTTTGCTGTAAATCACTGTGTATAAGAAGAAGAGTTGACCACTTAGTGAGGCCTAAGAGATTTAGCTAAACAGCTCATTACACTAGTGCCGCCTGCGAAGAAAAGCGAAATTAGCGTGAACACTTCATTCGGTCCAAGCTGGGCAGCCCCCAGCCAATAAAGTGCTGTCTCGTCCACCTTACACTTGTCTAAATTGGGTGCATGAGGCTAAGGGCCGACCTCGAAAAGCGGACGACCAACCAACGCACCAGCGAACAACACACTTAACCGAAACATGAAGGCCTTGCGTGATAAGTCTCTAGAACCTAATCCCAAACGCCTACTGTTTACTAGACCCATCGGATATCACTCAGCGTTTTAACAACAAGGCCAAGCAATCATGTTATGGAATTTTTGTAGCCAACATTATTTTCATTTAGCCGTCTTCCCTATATCTGTATTTTCCCCAGGCAGCCTTTGTATAGCCGTAGCCCCCTTCCTGAAAGTTGACTGTACATTTGTATATTCAAAAAATAGAAAAAGGAAGTAAAGAGACATTCAAAATTTCTTTTAATGTCCGCACACTACCAGATCGGTCAACAAGCTGTCTTGGCTAGAACCCTTGAATCCTTCCATTTAGATGTATTCTGTCTCAGAAACACGCATACAAGACCTCACTTCAATTATGTCCTTGTGTTCTCCTGTTCCAACCTCAACGTCACGTTTCACCCTTCGTGTGTCAGGTAATTCGGCATCCGAGGCTCGCGGTGTTCCGGGTGTCGGGATTGCGCTAAGTGTCAAGGCTAAGCGCTCGCTTNAGCCGACTGTGTGCTATACGTCTCAACGGTTAAGCACGGGTCAACAGCTACAGAGCGAAGCGTCGATGTTTATTCGCCGCATCAGTTTATGCACCGACTGATGGCAGTACATCAGAAATCAAGGATGAATTCTACAAGGACCTTTCTCAATTACTCCAAAGTGTTTGATCAACGGACATCGTAGTAGTCGCCGGAGACTTCAATATTCAAGTGGGATCCCTGGAAGAAACAGAAAGGCTTCCTGGAGGACCACATGCAATCCCAGCCAACCGGACCGACAACGGAGAACACCTGCAACTTTGCGCTGACCAAGGACTGCTTCTGCGAAGAACCAAAAAACGACAGCCTTGCAAGGAGAACGCCAACATCTTCAATTCGACCACAGCCATCAGCCACCGCGATTATCCATTCAAGCCTGTCGCTCCTACCGGTCAACACCCGTGGACACGCAACATGCCCTACTCCGAGCCAGATTCTCCATATGCCTAATAAATAACCGCCGAAAAGGGATGCCCACAATACAGTGTTAGCAATGGTTGCAAATCGGCCATCGAAGCGAAACTATCAAATCGCCTCTCAGCTCAAACATCAGCCGGAGGACTCAATAAACACTGGACAACAATCAAGGAAGCGATCCAAACGTCGGTCGAAACAACGGTAAATTCTGGCGCACGATCAAATAAAAGACGATGGACACTCCCGACCGCATTTGCCTTGCTGGACGCTCGCAAAGCCATTCCATCGGACTCAAATCGACCGCATTGCCATCAGCCACCGCTGGAGAGGATCCATTGAAGACTACCGCTCCTACTGGTCAACAACCGTGGAAACAGACCATGCTCTGCTACGAGTGAGATTCTCTCTACGCCTAATCAACAAACGCAGAAAAGCAACCGAAAACGGATGCCCAAGATACAATGTCAGCAATGGTTGCAAATCGGCCTTCGAAGCGAAACTATCAGATCGTCCATCAGCCGGAGGACTCAGTGAGCATTGGACGGCAATCAAGGAAGCGATACAAATATCAATCGAAGCAAAAGCAAATTGACTCACGATCAAATAAAAAACGATGGATCTCCCGGACTTCGGTTGCCCTGCTGGACGCTCGTAAAGCCATTCTTTCGGATTCAAATAACGACAAAGCGCGCAAATCCCTTAAACGCCAGTTCATCGAAAGTCTGAGGAATGACCGCGGAAAGTGGTGGGTAGGAAAGTGTAGAGAGATGGGGAAGGCTGCGGCTATTGGTAATGGTCGCAATCTTTTTCGGTTTATTCGGAGTACAGGACCAAGGAAAGCAGGCGTAAGTGAGGTATTTAAGGAGCCCGGTGGAACGCTGATCCATATTCAGCAATGCCGTCTAGAGCGATGGGTAGAACATTTCAAGGCTCAGTTTAGAGGGCCCTCGTCAGCACAAGACCTCCTTACACCCAATTCAACTGCCAATACTGCCAGTTGACAACAGTCCTCCATCTGAAATAGAGGTTAACCGAGAAACAAACTATCTCAGAAGGTATAAGGATTCCGGCCCCGACGGGCTTTCCCCATCGGTTTTTAAGGATGGAGGTCTAGTTTTGTTTTTTTGGAGTTAACAACACTCCTGGGTTCCGCGTGGGAAAAGGAACAGGTTTCAACTGAATGGTGTCAATCGGTGATCATACCGAGTTACAAGAAAGGTGGCAGATTATCTTGTGAAAACCACAGAGGAATTAGGTTAATCAACATAGCCTCTAAACTTCTCACCGGCATCATGCTCCGTCAATTGTCTGCCGCACGTGAAGAGTGCACGCGTGAGAACCAGGCTGGTTTAAAACCTGGTCGAGGTTTTATCGATCACATCTTCACTCGTCGCCAAACTCTAGAGCACCGACATTCTTATTGTAGACTCACCATCTCTATTTTCCTGGACCTTAAAGCGGCTTTGGACTCAGTCGACCCCTCCAAACTCTGGCGCTGCCTCGCTCTAAAGGGTGTGCCCGAGAATTTTAATTCAATATTACAGTCCCTCTAAACTTATCGCCAAAGTCGAGCTTACGGCACTTTTTCGCCCGAGTTATTTTCAATTTCCCCTTAGATTCTACTTTCACCCCTTCCTATCTTTCTCCTACTGTTCATCCAAATGGGCAGCTAAAAGACAACAACGAAGACCAGTGCACGAAAGTGTATGGTTGATGGTTGTACAAACGGAAACTGAATCATGCACCTGTCGGAGACCGAGTAACATGTCTGATTCTCAAAGGAAATTCAAAAGGTGTATATCTCTTGTTGGAAAAATATTTCCAAAACCGCAAAGCCAGCAAGTGGCCTCCTGAAATTGATTAGCATACTAACAATAGATTTTACTATTGCCTCCGGGTAAAAGGACAATCCGATTAATTAGTTTGTTAAACACCAAAACTTAATGAAGGTCATGACGAAGGTGAAACAAAAGACTTATAGAGACAACCAACTAACCCTGAGGCTCATGCTTCCGAAAGCCTCAATACGGTCGGGAGTGAGTGTTTCGGGTTGCGGCTAGTCACCCTTCCCTTGCACATGAAATGCTCCCATACGACCAAGCGTCCCAAACGGCCCCTGCTAAGGAAGCTCTACAAGCTACGTTCTCGTGGTGGAGATGTTTTCCCACCAAAACGAGAGGAAGAAAGGCCAATATTCGGATCTATATTTTGGTCAGTAAACCACTGACAGTTAATCAGGGGGAGTTGGCTAAAAACACCGAATTCAAACCAACCAAGAGGTAAGGGACGGATGAACGCCTTATACAAGGAAAGCAAGTCAACCGGGCTCCTGGATGACACTGCGCNTGAAACAGGGCCAACAGTATCGACGCACTGTGACTTAAAGTACTTGTAAATAAACACC